AAATTATTATTTGGAATAATTACTTTAGTTTTGGTTGGTATGAGATACTATTTGATAAGCTCGGTTTTCTTTTTTTTATCATTTTTAAGAGAACGGCTTTTAGGCCTATCATATTATCATATTAACGTCTGTAATAATTTGGCGGGAATTTAAAATCGACCAATGAGAATGCGTATTTGAACACAGGTGCCGAAACAGACCCCAGAATGCTTATATGCGTACGGTTCTCGCCGTGCGGCGTAACCGTCGTAGTGTGACACCACCCTTATACTGAGAATCTTCTGTGGTATGGAATTAGTGGTGCTTTGGTTTTCTTATTTTTTGTTTCTGTTTCTATTATTGTATATTCTGAATTTTTAGGATTATAATGTTTTTTGTGTTTATTATGCATTAAGTGGTGAGTTACGTTTGAGAATAACCCACCGATCAGTTTGATGCTCCACCCAAATGTGTTGTATAATAATGTTAGATTTAACCCTGTGTTTATACAAGTTATGACCAATTTGAAAATAATGACTAAGCCTAACAAGCCTGAAGTTATATTACCGAAACTCGTGAACCAGGCCCATATGTTATGTATTTCCTGATGGACTAATTTGCTTAGGGTTTGGTTTGATCATCGATTAAGTTTTTTATATTAGTACCCGGGTCTATTACATTGTGACCTAATGTTTATCTAATTAGATTCCTTTGCACTGTATCAGATTCTTGAGGAAACATTAAATGATTTTGTAGTGCCTTCATTATATCGGCTGTATATATATACCTGCCGTCATGAAATTGTCTGAACTTTCGTAAGACCAAGTTGGGTAGTGGCTGGTTTCAATGTCTGTGGGTTATTTACCTTATGCGGTTTTGGTGTGAGGGAGAACCATTTGCCATCTTTCTGAAATGCAGGGGGTAAATATTCATTGCAATCTATTTGAGTGCCATAAGTCTGTAATATATGAGTTTTGGGAGTCATGAAAAGTGTCTTGTTGTATAATACCGGAAGTTCATTGAAGCACGAATCTTGTATTGATATCTCAACATTTACTGGTTTACATTTCTGTAAGTAAATAATTTCACCATTTTTAATGGCTACGAAACCTGGTCCTTCCCCAATGGTGTATGCAAATTCAGATAACCTATACGAGGCAAGTGTTAGTTTTTGTAAAAGAAGTTGTCTCTCGAAATTGAATTGTTTTCTGGTTATGTCTTCGTAAAGACTTGTAACAGTTCTTTTTATAGTAAATTCTATATAAATGAATTTGGTATTTATATAGGATAATAAATCGGTGTTAAATGGTTGAATTTTTTTGGGTGTAAAACTGTTTACATATATGTAGTTAGATAATATAAGTAGTTGATTATTTTCTGTTTGAATCACTGGTATATTACAGGCAAATGTCATAGATATTTTTTTTAAAGCGAAGGCAATGTACGTGGTCTCTACAATATAAGTTTCGGTTTTGTGGTTGTTATTATCTACGGATGTGACAACGGAGGCTAGTCCGTCATATAGTACATCGTATTCCTTGATACTACAGTCTGAGTTTTCGTTCGTCTAAATTACTTCCCTCTTATATTTATCAAGTCCGTATGACTCCGGCAGTTTGAGTCTAGAACCTGTTGGTAATATCAATACATTCTCTTTGGTGTTTGCTAATACTTTGCCCTCAGATAAATGAATTTTGTATTTGGCTTGTACTATTACGTTATTCCATGTATCCCTGGCATTTGTGAAAGTGGTACCTTCACAATTGCCATATTTATCTAATAATCCCCCACTTGTGTGTGACGTGATAAACGTTTCATTAACTCGTATGCCTGATATGATGCCTCCAAACGGGGTTTGATAAATTAATTTGTGGTGTAAATCTTCACATCGAGCATGTCCTAATTCAATGATTTCGGAATTATAGCCCCATCTACCATTTGGGCATCTTCAAAAGTGGAGCATCTTGTTATAAGGTAGTCTACGGAAATGAAACATGATTTGAAGTGTTGTGAGTGTATCTCTGTTTTTTGTAATAATTTTATTTTTGGTAAGGATAAAATTTCCGTGGGTTTTGGACTTTCGCAAAAATCTATGTCTATACTGTTAAATGCACTTATGTTCATTTGTGGGCCCCCACAGTCGTAAAGCTATGAAGGTTTGTACATGATTGAGTTTTAGTATGCAGATGGAGATAAGTAATAACTTTATATTGAATGAAAACATCTTTGGTTGTTGTGTACTTTATTATTGTTTTTATATTATTATATTTCTTATTAATATTATTTTGTTATTATTCATATTTATTTATTTATTTATTATTGTTATTAATTTTGCATATACATATATTGAGCTAAAATAAATATGTGATAATATGTTGTTTTCACTTTGATTTCTGAAATAAAATATGTTATAAGTGTGTTTTTGTAAATGGCATATTGTAGTAAAGTACAATATGTTATTAATAAATGATAGGCATCAAAAAGAAGAAAGAAAAAGAGAAGAAGAAAGAGAAAACAAATGGTACATCGTATTACAACTCGCAACACCTAAAAAGAGTATTTTTGAATGACTCCAACTTTCTTCAAATTTTTGTTTTTCTATTTATTTTTTGTAATAGTATAGTTAAAGTTTTTTTTATGCTTAATGCAATAATTGAACTGAGTATTCTTATGTACTTTCGTAATTTAATTAATAATATAATGTCTTTATTTTGTTATAATTATTTTTTTTTTACTGTTCTTATTATTATTTGTTATAGTCTCTCGTATAGGGTGGTTTTAACCTCCTAACATGCACGGTATCGATAATTTCTTTGCAGTTCAAAATCAATTTTATTTTATAGTTAAGTTCATTGACCTTATATATTATTCTAAATGGTTCTCTATATTTAGGCCCTAGTTTGGAGGACTTACCTACTTCTAAAAATGGAAATTTGACCATAACTAAGTCATTTATGTTATAATTTATTGCTGTATGAGTTTTGTCATGATATTTTTTTTGTATTATTTGAGCTTCATGAACTCGTTGTGGTATTTTATCTCTTATTTTATTTAGTTCTATTAAAAATTGTTTTGATAGGTATGGGATGTCTTCGGGAATAATTTTATTGTCTATTGGAAATGTAGGTTCGAAACCATAAGATAGAACGGACTATATTTAGTGGTGGTTTGAGGTGTGGCATTATATGCTAATGTTAAGTACGGTAGAAAATATGATCATTTTGATTGGTCACCATTTTTTATATAATTTTTTAATGAGCCTGTTATTACCCCATTAATTTTTTCAACTAGACCCTGTGTTTGAGGTGAGTAGCTTGTTGATAAGGTTCGTTTTATTCCCAGATTTGAACATATGTCACTAATTAATTTGTTTCTGAAATGAGTGCCTCTATCAGATGAAAAGTTCCTAAAGCAGCCCCAAATCGATACTATTTCTGTCATAAATTTGGCAGTGGCCTCGGCCGTTGCTGTTTCAACTGCTTTAGTGAATATATATTTGGATGTGTTACACACAGCTACTAGCACATAACGTTTTTTATTGCTTGAGACTTGTGGACCTAAGTAGTCAAACGTTACTCTATCTAATGGTTTTCCTGTTGTTATTGGTATTGGATTTAACAAGCCTATTGGCTTACCACTCATTTTTTTATTAACTTGACATTCGCCGCACGATTTAATGAAGTTGTTAGTGTCTTTGTGTAGAGAAGGCCAATAGTATTTATTTTGTATTTTGTGGATAGTACGTGAAATGCTTGTATGACCACCGGTGGGTGAATCATGGTAAGATTTTAATATTCCATTGATTAGTGTTTTTGGTATAACGAGTATTAGGTTATTGTTTGTCAGGGGTGTGTATTTTTTATAATATAATATTTCATTTTGTAATATAAACAACCTAGATTTTCTTTTTATGTTGGTGGGTGCTTCTTCATTATTTAATGCTTTTATCATACTGTTACAAAATTGGTCATTTCTTTGTTGTGTTTTTATGTCATGTAAATTATTTAATGTATCGATATTTATGCTTTTAATATTGTTAATTGCATTTCTGGAAAGTGAATCAGCAACTTTGTTATCTTTACCCTTTTTGTATATTATTTCAAAATCAATGTCTAATAATTTTAATGTTAATCTGGCTATCCTAGCAGAGGGTATTTTTAAGTTGTTATTATATTGTAAGCTTATATTGTCCCAAAATACTGTAAACCTATGTCCCCATAAATATTCTCGAAAATATTGAATGCCAAAACATAGCCCAAGTAATTCAAAGGTGGTGGAAGAATAAGTTTTTTCCTATTCTAGGAGTCTATTGTTAACGGTAAAAGACGATTGCGTATGATTTTTATCTGCAACTTTGAACTTCACTGTTGCCATTTGCTTTGAACTTATAGAACAGGGCTAGCCAAACTTTTTTTGGTCACGATCTACTAAAAATATACTTCACCTTTGAGGATTGACTTATTAATCAACTTATTGATCAACTATTATTAAGAAACATAAAGCGGAAGGCGTTACACTGCCTGAACTTGGATTGACACAAGACTCAATTAAGCCACAAGGTTTTGCTATCCAATGTCGTGTTACTACTGAAGATCCTGCTAAAAATTTCCAACCGGACACTGGCCGTGTTGAAGTATTCAGGAAAGGTGAAGGCATGGGTATCAGATTGGACGGTGCCTCTGTATTTTCTGGAGTAATAATCAGTCCATACTATGATTCATTACTCGTTAAAGTTATTGCGCATGCTGCTGATTTACAAGCATGTTGTACTAAAATGAACCGTACCTTACGCGAATTTAGAGTTCGTGAAGTAAAAACCAATATACCATTCTTGTTAAATGTGTTAACCAATGAAAAATTTGTAAATGGATCAGTTGATACATATTTTATTGATGAAAACCCTCAACTGTTCACACTTGAGCCATCTCAAAATAGAGCTCAAAAATTACTGAACTATTTGGGAGAGGTTTTAGTAAATGGCCCTCAGACTCCATTAGCAACCAGTTAGCTAGCAAATTTACACCCTAATGTACCTGAATTCCCTGCAGATTACGTTGCACGTATATTAGGCAAAAATGATCCAGAAAATAACTCAGGCTTGAATCCACCTAAAGGATTTAAACAAATTCTCACTAAAGATGGACCAGAAGCTTTTGCAAAGGCAGTTCGAGACCATAAGGGACTTTTGTTAATGGACACAACAATGAGAGATGCACATCAATCTCTTTTGGCCACTAGAGTCAGATCCCATGATATTCTACGTATTGCTCCATGGGTGTCACAAAGTTTCCCAGGTTTATATTCATTGGAAAACTGGGGTGGAGCTACATTTGATGTTGCACTTCGATTCTTACATGAATGTCCATGGGAAAGATTAGCAGACATGAGATCATTTCTAATTCTTGTCTCTGTTGTGGTGATACTCTATGGGGCGCATTAAATTTTGGTTCTTTATAATTCGGTTTCATTTTGATTTTGCAAGGTTGTACATTAGCGGCTTTTATGTTAGAAGTATCTATTGAGAAAATGTGTACATGTAGTAACTGAATGACTTTGTTGTGTTCTATTATGTTTAATTTAGGTGAAATCGAGAAAGGTGTACTTTCGGAATCTGTTAGAAATCGTTTTGTGACTTTATTTGTTGAATTTGTAACCGTAATGTTTTTTATTTGGAAGTCGGTTTGTTTAATTTGTTTATTACCAGTAATTTCTATTGATTCTGGGTGCGGCGGTCCTTTTGGGTCAAACAATGTGTTGGGATGCTGCTTTCTATCGCGTCCAGACATTGCGGGGAAGCCGATATTTTAGGGATGATTTTTATGTTGTTACCTTTTTTTATAACCTTATCGTTTGAGATTATTTGTATGTTATTAATTGTATCTTTGTTATCGTTTTTCGTGTCTCTAATACTTAATTTATGTGTTTGTAAGTTGATTGTCGGCATTTTTTGTATATGAATTATGTTGTTAGGTATTTTATTGGATTTTTTCGATGTCACCGTACCAGGGATCCAGTGAGTATTTTTTTTAACCTTATATAAGACTATAGGCGATCTATTACCGTCACGTGCGTGAAGTTGGCCCACCCACTTTGGCTTAGCGGTTCAAAATCTTCACCAAAAGTTTGCGAGTTAATTGCGAGAATTTGCGAGTCCACTTTTAGAATTTGTGAGTTAGCCGTTTTTGAGCTACAAAAAAAATAAGAATTGGTGGGCCAAGTTCACGTAGCCCACCCATGTCGCTCAAAAATTTCGAAATTTATTCTAAAAGATGCTTCACGATTTGCGAGAATTTGCGAGTCCGCTTTCAGAATTTGCCAGTCACTATTTTAATCACCAAACTCATTTCCATAATTCGAATTAAAATTTGATATTTACCATTATAAGGTATTTTGAGGATATTACAAGTTATTTTGCGAAAATAAAATCGTTGTTATACGTCTCCATATATTATACCCGTATTAATTGTCGTTATCATTATATATATATAAGTGTCATGGTTGTAATAATGTGCTATTGCGGCTAATTTTTCGTCGGACCACCAATAGTTTGGTAATTCGTTTAGCCCCAGCAATTCTAAAATTTCTAGGATTGAGGTTATTTTTTTTTTTTTATTGTCATTTAATACATTACAGACGGCATAGAGTCCACAATTCCCATCACTGAGAATGTTTTGTCCTGATTTGTATTTAGAAAATGTATTATAGGTTGTGTTTCCGGTTATATTTTGTGCATCAATTATTTTTGTTTCAGTATTTTTATCATTATTATTATTATTATTACTATCGCAATGTGTATGAATATTATTAATTGTCAGTGTATTCTTTTGATTTATATGTTGTATCTTTTTTATCTTTATAATATATGTGTACTTCGATATTAGTATTTTGAAATTCTGAGTATGTTAACTGCTTTACTATGGACCAGTTGAATTTATGTGATTCTGAGTCAAGGTTGGGCTTAGCAATTTTTGAAATGTTGGATCTTATAGCTTGAAGTTTTAGGTTATGTATCGAAGCTTTTAGATCTTCGTATTTGGGTTTATGATGAAGTGATTCTTTTATTATTAAATTAAATATGGTTTTATTATTGTTTCTTATGGGTATGGTGCTTCCTACATTTATTTTCTGTAATGAGAATTGTGGTCCAGTATTACCATATACTTTGCATATTAAGTTTGTTATTCCTCTGTTCGTTTTGAGGTCGGAAGATATGCAGTGAGCTATTGAAAAAGTATCTGGGCAGTTAAATATGCTACCTTCTATTTCCTTAATGTTGTTAGTATTATTTATACAATTTAATGCGTTTGTGTTATTAATTTTTAGTTGAACATTTATATTGTTGTTTAAGATAATGTTATCATCTTTAAAATCAATTAGAGCATTATTTTTTATTAGAAAATCATTCCCGAGTAAAATTGTGCTAGATAAATTTTTTACATCGTGTGTATTTATATCGAAGTAATTATTGTTAATTTGTATTTGTATTTTACTTGTACCCGCTACGCATAATGGTTTATTATCGGGTCCTGACAGTTGTACAGCGGTATGTTATAGAGCATATCGTTTTGAGCGATTGGTTCAAATTCTATTCTAAGTTTTTTTTCTAAGTCAATCCATTTGATATCTTCCCCACTATCTACAATGTTATTATAAAACATAAGAGCAGAGCCTTCTAAAAAAACATTGATATATTGAGCCTTTTCGGATTCTGACCAAGCATTAATGATGGCCGCTCTATTGTATTTTTTAAAAAATGAGTCAATATTATCGGAAATTGAGCCTGAGAAATTTGTTAGTTTAAAATAGGGTTTCCTATTGTCATTCATATTGTTTTTGATTGTGTTATTAACGGAGTTACTTATTGGTTCTGAGATGAATGTTATATTATCTATTAATTTTTCGAAATCTTCGTGGGTAGATTCCGCTTTTAGATATTTGTGGAGCCTACTTTTTAGATCTGGAACTAGACCAGATGTTATTAATTGTCTTCTTGACAATTCAGTAATTAATTTATCTTTATTTAGTTTGTTTATCCAACCTGTGGAGATGTTGTTAAAATCTATGTCTGGCAATGTATAGTTATTATCTAATTTATTCTTTTGTGAATTTTGCATGTGTAAAAAAAAAAGAATTATTAATAAAATCTTTTTTTTTTTTAGTTAAATTTTTTTTTTTATTCAATTAAGGGTTTTTTTTAAATAAGATAAAGACAGAGAGCGAGAGAAAGAAAAAGAAAAAAGAAATTACTATTTATTTCAACTATTAAATAATTAAAAATGTATATGAGTGTAAGTATTGTATAATATGTTAAATCAGATTAATTATCTGAATATTTTTTTTTTTATAATAGATTCGTATTAAATCTAATTGAGTTAATATTAATGTATATTCTAGTTATAGTGTACACATATGTATACATGTATATATAAATATGCTTAGATTTTTATTTTTAAATTAAGTATTTGTGAATCCTTTAAGACTTATTAATATTTTTGAGAGAATAGAAAAAAAAGGTTTTGTTTTATTTACGGGGTAAAAGAAAAATAATTAAGATTTCCTTCAAATTTAATTCAATTATATCCCCTTTTAGATTAGTAATATTTCCAGTGTTGTGCTTAGATAATTTTTTTGTATCTAGATATAGATAAGATATAGGAACTCAAAATATATCTAGATAGAGATAGATAATGATAAATTAAAATATATCTAGATATAAATACAGATAAAATCAATTTTATCTAGATGAAAAGGAGATGATTTTTTATAAATGATATTCTTAAAATATGATTTTGTTAAATTTTATTTTTATATTAGGTTTGTAGAAAATATTAATACAATTATGAGTTATGACTATATATAATTTAAGTTTAAATTACTATAAACTATTTAAACGAATAATAATAAAAACAAATGAACTGAATAGACTATAGTACTATACAGCCTACGCGGACGGTTATGAATGAAGTCATTAGTCAAAACTCAATAATTATGATGGTATGATACTTTTTCCATAGGCAATGAATAATAATAAATAAAATATTTATAACAGTGGTTAATTAATAAAGGTTGTTGGCGAATGGTGAGTGGACTGAGTGGAGCTGGTGGTTTATTCTTATTAGTTATTGATATTTTTAAACTATTATAATACCAATATTCCCACTTCCCAGTACTATCGTCTATCAGGTTATTCTTAGACCTTCGGCTTGAATTATTTAATATTATTATATAATAAGCTAAGCTTATCTGTTGGAAGGAAACGTACCGAAGCATAAAGAGTCGTTTCTTTTGGGCCGGTATGCGTGAGGCAGTGCGTAATTACGTGAGGGCTGTTGACGTCTGTGCACGTGTAAAATCACTGAATCGCAAACCGGAAGATCGGATATACACCCGAGTCCCACGGCAATCTTGGGGAGTGCTGAGCATCGATCTTATGGGTCCATATCCACGAACGCAGCGGGGTAAGACAACGATTTTGGTAGTAACTGATTGTTACAGTCGCTGGGTAGAGGCGTACCCTCTAGGAAAGGCGACGACCAAATCGATTGTGGATACATTCGAACGGGAGTTGTTCCCACGGTTCTGGTAATCGAGGGCATTATTGTCAGATAATGGCCCGCAGTTCGTGTAAAAGGCAATGGGAGACGCACTAAAGAGGTAGAGAGTGGAAGGATGGACGACTCCAATATACCACCCACGTGCCAACCCGGTAGAAAGGCGAAATCAAGAGTTGAAGAAAGGATTGCGAACCCTACTTGTTGATAAGCTTCATCATCTATGGGATGTCTACCTGCCACACGTGTTGTTCTCCGTAAGAAACAGAGAGAACCGAAACACCGGACATTCGCCGGCCAAAATGATGTTTGGCCGGGAGATCAAGGCCCCCGGAGATTGGCAGCTCGAGCTGGCCGAAGGATCTCCGGACGCGGGCAAAAATGGTCCGGAGTTGTCCGGAGCAGTGCGGAACCCTCCGGTAAAAATCAAAGATTGTCCGGTGAAACCGAATGATGCTGCTGTGGTAGAGGGGGGTTACCCGGTGGTTTCCGGCCCCAAAGCCCCCAGTACCCATATACCCCCTGAATCACCGGGAAGAAGCAATTTGACAGTAGGGGATTGGGTATCCTACAAAGCGCATTCGCAGTCAAGTGTGGAGAAGCGTTTTCACGTGGGGTTTGCTCCGAAATGGTTAGGTCCACTAGGAACCGGTGTGTTCTTGACGGAGGGCAAACATCCTACTAAGTTACATGTCTCAGGGATGAAGCGAGCTGTAGGACCGTCAGAGAACACTAAATAATCATACCTTGTTTTAGATTCCAGAACGAGCAAACAACCCACCGCCGACCCGCAACAACCGGCCAGGCCACGGGTAGGGCCACCGGGGCGTGTGCCGCCCCACCGAGCACTGCCATCATACCAGCGCCATGACGTCCGGGATGGGTGAGG